CTTCACCTGGGAGAAGGACATAGAGATGCAAAAGGGCATCGAACCCCTGCCTTTCCAGGGCATGGACAGTGAGTGAGGAGGGTGCCAGCCGTCCCTCCCCCTCTCCCTCCTCCTCCCTGCTGCTCCGCAGGCCTCTCTGCTCAGAGTCTGCTGGGCAGCTCCTTGCTCTGCTGCTCACCAGGGGGCTGAGCTGGGGGCCCACAGCCTGGGATTCCCAGCGTAGCCCCTCTCTTCCCAGGGGCTGGGGCCTCCCCTCCTACATCCTGCGTGGGGTTCCCTGGGAAATAGGGCTGGCTCCCCGGCTCCCAGGCTGGCCTCAGGCCCCTCTGTTGCAGACTCAGGGGCTCAGGTGTTGAGGTTCGGAGGCTGGCTCTTGGGGCCAGCATCCAAAGGCAGGACTGGGGGGAAGGGGGGCTTTGGGGAGGTTACTGATGGAGGAAGGGCCCTCTGGGGAAGCTGCCGCCTATTTCCTTCCCCACTTCTAGAGTCGAGCTCAGCTGTGTGCAACTTCTACGCCAAGGGGCTGTGTGAGAAAGGTGGGTCGGCCTGTGGGCCGCGTCCAGGCCACTGGGCTCAGCGTAGCCTCGAAGAGGGTGTTGAATTTGCACCTGGGGAGGGGAAGTTGGGATGGGGTAGAATGTTTTTGTTTTTAATCCTCACCCGATGTTATTTTTACCATTGCCTTTTAAAAATATATATTTTATTGATTTTTTTTTTACAGAGAGGAAGGGAGAGGGATAGAGAGTTAGAAACATGGATGAGAGAGAAACATCAATCAGCTGCCTCCTGCACACCCCCTACTGGGGCGGTGCCCGCAATCAAGGTACATGCCCTTGACCAGAATCGAACCCGGGACCCTTGAGTCCGCAGGCCACTGCTCTATCCACTGAGCCAAACCGGTTAGGGCGACTTTTTTTTTTTTTTTGAGAGTGGAAGGGAGAGAGAAAGGGGGAGGGGAGAGAGAGAGAGAGAGACAGATATGAGAGACACATCGATTGGTTGCCTCCTGCATGGGCCTGACCACGCTTGTCCTCTGAACCCGTGTGGGGCCGCCCAGCTGTTCCAGATGCAGGAGACCAGGCCCCTTAGAAACGTGGGGCCTGGGGTGTCCTTCCTGCTGTTGGAACAGCGGCTGACGACGGCGATAGAGTGAAATCTCACATTCCCGCTTCCTTCGGATCCTCACGGAGCTGGCTCCGACGTCATCCTCACTCGTGGTCACGCTAGGCCTCTGGAATCAGGAGGCATAATTTTTTTTTAACACATGAACCCAATAGGCCCTTAATGAGCACGGACTATGTGGTAGGGACTGTGCTGTGGGGGGCAGGGCGCAGGCCTGGGGACCATGCCTCTCCTCTCTGGTGGGAGCCCCACTGTGAGCCTGGAGGAGAGGGGTTGTCCCGACAACTGGGGGCTTCCTGGGGTTTGACGGGCACCACACCAGGCAGAGAGGAAAGTCTGGGCAAAGGTGTGGCCGTGGGCACAGCCATCTCTTCGGACCATAGCAGGTCCCCCCCTGTTGCCTCTGGCCCCCAGTTCTAGCCACCGCCAGGGTCCAGGGGAGGGGATTAGAGGGGGCAGCTGGGTCTGCGCCCAGGGGTGAGAGGGCCACGGCTGGGGTGGCGGGGGCTCCCAGCTGGGCACTCTGGTCCCCAGGGAGGCTGTGCCCATTCCGGCACGACCACGGGGAGAAGACAGTGGTGTGCAAGCACTGGCTCCGCGGGCTGTGCAAGAAGGGCGACCAGTGCCGGTTCCTGCACCAGTACGACCTCTCCAGGATGCCGGAGTGCTACTTCTTCTCCAAGTTCGGTGAGGCCCCCTGGCTCCTGCCTGTTCCCCGGTGATGGCGGCGGTGGCTGTGGGATGGGATGCTTGGGAGGGACCCCAAAGGAGGCCTCGCGTGTCTCAGGGGGCAGGTCAGGCCTGCCTGAGCCTCGGACGCCTGCCTCTCCGACCGATGCCCTCGAGAAAGTGGAACTGAACTCTGGTCCTGGGTTATCTGCCCCTGCCAGGCTGGGGCACACACTCCCACCCAAGGGAAGGAGAGGGTGTGGCTGGATCAAAGGCCGAGCTGTTTCCCTCCGCAGCCCTGGCCAAGTCACACCCAGACTCACTGTCCGGAAACGGCCTCAAATGGGCCATCTCTCGGTCCGGGGTTTGGGAGGGGGGACCAGGCCAGTGGTTCCCCAGCAGCAGGCACGTGGGGGCCCCATTCCCGTGCTCGCCACTCCCACCAAGCACTTGTCCCTTGACCTGCACCAGCGTATAATTTTCCAACTGCTTCGCTATTTTAAACTCGCACTTTAGAAGAAAACTGTATATTCTTCCATAAATGGAAAGCTAGAGCCACTCGTTGGCAATAAAAGGTAACTGGAAACAAACAACCCTGGGGCTCAGAAGTAGAGCCCCTGAAATTATCTTGTGTGGTCAGGTCTGGACCTCAGGTCCTCCTGTTGTCATCCAAGGGGCTGCGGGGCAGGAGTCACACCACTTCCTGCCTCATGTAGGCGTGGACTCTGTGAATATTTCCCTCTCCCTAGAATTCTACAGCTCTGTGCTTCCCAGAACAGGAGCCGTAAGGGTGGTCTAGTCCAGTGGTGTTGGAAGTGTGTTCTGAAGAGTGACCTGGAGGAGGGAGAGCTGGGACAGCCTCCGGGGGTGCCTCTGACGGTGGCGGTGGCGGTGGCGGTGTCTGTGGCTTTGAAACTGAGCCAGCTTTGGGGGCAGGTGGGGAGGTCCTGGCGAGAGCTCCTCCCAGGCCCAATCCGTTTCCTGCCTGGTCCTCGGAGCTGAGAGCTGTGGCAGTTGATGAGGGCTGCCCGCACGTGTCCCTTCAGGACAAAGTTGACCTGGGGCCTGGCTCCCCTCGGTCATCGCGTAAACCTCTTTCCTTTTGAAGTACCACTACTGACTCCTTCAGTAACCCTGGTTTTCTTTTGGGGATACTGTGCTGGACATGGATGCAGGAATAGGACCAGGTCCCCTTCTGCGCGTGTAAACCCATGATTGCAATACTACGTAATGTATGTTTTTGCTCTTGGAGTAAATGAATGAATATCTCTTTCAACAGCATGCCAAAGTAATTATCATTTTTGTTGGAAGTAAGTCGTTTTGTTTTTAAAGAGATTGTTGGGGCGTGTAGGAGTAGGGAGGGGTGAGGAAATCTGTGGTCTTTTAACCCTGTTCCTGGCTGTGCCCATCAAAAAGGTACCCGGGTGTCTCTGGAGGGTGAGGTGCGGGCGCCACCTGCTGGCCATGAGAGGAATGCAGCGTCGTGCATCCAGGGCAGAAAGGCAACCCCAGTGCATAGCAGGGGTGGGCAAACTTTTTGACTCGAGGGCCACAATGGGTTCTTAAACTGGACCGGAGGGCCGGAACAAAGGCATGGATGGAGTGTTTGTGTGAACTAATATAAATTCAAAGTAAACATCATCACATAAAAGGGTACGGTCTTTTTTTTCAATAGTTTTATTCATTTCAAACAAGCCAGATCCGGCCCATGGGCCATAGTTTGCCCACGGCTGGCATAGGGTGACTTCCCGCTGTCCCCATCTATCCGGTGTTCACCAGTCCCTGCAGCGGGTTGGGGCGGGGGAAGATGTCCCTTGGATGCCTTAGAAGGCCCAGCCCAGAGTCGGATGCATGCTGGTGATGAGACAGCTAACCCCCTTACGTGAGGAGCCTGTGAAAATGGACATCCCACCTGCCCTGTCTGGTCACTGGCGTCTTCGTTTGTGAAAGGAGAGGGCTGGGCAAGAACAGAGGCTCCGGCCTCTTAGGGGCCAGGGGGGTTCTCCTTCAGGTGAGCCCTCGCTCTGCAGAAGCCCAGTGGACGAAACAGGTCTCTGTGAGCAGTTTGAAAACCAATCCCATAGCCACCTCGGAGCACCTTTCAGCGCCGAAAGGCACAGAGTTTTAGGCCTTTAAGGAGGATGAGATGGGAATCCCCTGCCCCCCGCCCCCCGTGGCGCCTTCAGAGCCCCTGGGTCACTAAGAGACATCTAAGAGGGTCCTCACCGTGACTCTCAAGTAGTGTGTGCAAACTCTGGGGAGCCAGGTGTGTGTGGGGTGGGGGGCCTTGGTCTCACCCACAATCTCCATCCTGGGCCAACTCTGAGGCAGGCTCTGCTCTTGGCAATTTCACCACAAAGAGCTGCACCCGACTCAGGGCGTGTCATCTCACTGCGGAGAGGAACAGTGCCTTGGTCACAGTGCGCGGCCATGTCTCCTTCGGTGTCTTAGGTCGTCTTGGGTCTTTAGCTGCCAGCCCCGGGTCCTGCCTTGCCTGCTTCCTGCCTCCCCAGTGGCGTCTAACTGCCTTCAGTCCTGTCCCCGCTCCTGGGTACCGGGCCTGCCCCACCCAACCGCTCCCAGTGTGTGCAACCACCCCAAACCCTGCTTAGCAAATGCTGTTGGGGTCCGCCCTCGGTAGAGTGCAGGGAGGATTAGAAACACCTCCCTGTCTTCAAAGCTGCTGACGACCAGAGGGAAGGCAGGGGGCTTCTATTCGAGGGGCAAAGTCAATGTGGTGTGTGCCTGGGGGGTGCGGGGGGGCAGAGGTAACCGTGACCACGAGCCCGCTTGTCTAGAGATCGCTGGGGTTTTCAGGTGAGTGCAGCAACAAGGAATGCTACTTTCTTCACATGAAGACAGCTGCCAAGGCCCAGGCCTGTCCTTCGTACGACCAGGGTTTCTGCAAAGAAGGTGAGGGAGCAAAGGGGATGTGGGGGGCCAGGTGAGCGGTCGTCCGGCAGGGAGGTGGCATGTTGGGGTGAGGTCCACCCCTGGGTTGGAATCCCAGCAGACGTCCTTTCCACGGTTCTCAGCTCGTTCCCAGGAGAACCGTCACCCTGTGACGCGTGGGCTGGTGTGGCCTGGCGGGCTTCTTGGAGCAGGCGTGGGTGCAATCCCAATGGCTTCGGGGTGTGTCCGCTGCACAACCTTAACTGCTTGCTTCCTCGCTTGTGGAAACAGGAGACGGCTCCATCCTAGGGTCGCCGGGCCACTCCCATGGGGGACCCCACGGGGAGCCCTTGGCATAGGGTCGGGCCTGTAGGGCACTCGGTTCACCCACCTGGGGGTATCCTGTCACTTAAGCACGTTCCACCTGCCCCATTACAGTCAGCCACTGAGGGGACAGGGACCACAGCAGGGTCCCTGCTTGAGCATCCTGTGCCTTCAGGTATGTTGCTGAGTTCTGGGCAGGGTTGCTTTGGGGGTGCGTTACAGAGAAGGGGCGCCGATGGAGGGTTAGTGAGATGTGGGGTGAGCCTTGCCTCAGCTGCGCCTCCCATGGCTAAAGGAATACGAGACAGCAAATGACCGTCTGCATCCTTCAAGACAGCGTGTTGGGGACACTTCCGACCCTACACCTTCCGGGGTCCCCTTCCCATGTCACGGGGCTAGGAGCAGGTGCTCAGGGCAGTACGGACAGGGCAGGCAGCTGTACACCCGTGGCGTCGACTGCTGTGACCATCCCTGGCCTGTGTGCCTCCTTTGCTAACACAGATGCTTCCGGCCATTTCTCTGCCTGGCAGGTCCCCTGTGCAAATACCGCCATGTCAAGAGGGTCATGTGCACGAACTACTTCGTTGGCTTCTGCCCGCTGGGACCCGAGTGCCCGTACGCACAGTAAGTGTGGTCCCCGGTGCTGGGCCCGCTCTCTGGCTTCCGATCTGGATGCTTCGTAGCTCCTGACCCAGGTCGGAGATGAAGTGCCCGGCAGCATCTGCCCAGTGTTTTCACTGCATTGCTTCCTGGACACCCACCCCTTCCTCAGCCACACGGAACCCTGCCCCGGGCTGTTCATGTATGTGCATGCCAGGGACAGGCATGTGGCTCTTCACAGACTGTTCTAGAAACAAGGGTAGGGATGATGCTGGGAGGGCCTGAACACTCTGCAGCCCTCCCTCCATCCCCGGGAGGGTCTGGGCTCCCTCCTGGGTCCTCACGTTAGAGCAGGCGATGGTGAGCGGCCCGGCTGTAACGCCTCTCTCTGCTTCCTCAGCCCCAAGATGGTCCCTTTATTCAACCCAACGCCCCGAGGTGAGTGCGGGCAGCAAGGGCTGTCTCACGCCGTTACTCACTGTGCCCGGGGACCTTGAGTCCCCAGCACTGCCTGTCCCCACTGCCTTCACTCACGCCATCCGCCGTCTCCCGTCCTGGGGAAGGCACACACCTTAGCATGGGTGGCACATACGTGTGGCGGTTCCTCCCAGGCCCCTCCAGCTCTGTAACCTCTGCTTCAGGTGGGACTGGTCAGCTCTCAGCCCCGAGGCCTCCCCTCCCCTTCCCCTTTGCTCCTCACACGGGTGGGCGTGGTGTTAAAGAGCAGGGGCCAGTCACTGTGCATCAGGCCCTGGTGGCATGGGGTGCCTGTGAGAACAGCACTTCCTATGGACGCCAGGTGCGGTTGACGGCCTCCAGGAGGGTCAGTAAACCAAGGCCCGCGGGCCAAGTCTGCTCCCCCTCCCCCTCCTGGTTTTTGGGCAGCCTGGACTGAGGAATGATTGCTGCTGAGCCCCTGTTCACTAGCTGGCCAGGCTGGGATGGCAATGGGCGGGAGGAGGGCGCCCCCTGCTGGTTCTGAGTGGCATCTCCCCTAGAAGGGGGGGGAATTCATAAGCCCATTTCTAACTTTGGTCAAATGTTGTGTTTTCAGCAGTGAGAACGGTAAATAAAGGCATTTCAAAGCCTGGCTTCTGCCTGAACGCCTGGCCAGGGCCGCACCCTCGGTGAGAAGGGGCTGCGTCTGCACAGAGGAATGTCTGTAGGAGCTCTGTGTACCGTACTCTCCTGCGTCCCCTGTATCTGCAGCTCACCTGGCCGTGGGGCTCAGCACCTCCCGCTTCTATCCGGCCACCTCAAAAGCCACCTTTCCAATGGGGTGCCTGCTTCTCCCCCTTCCATGGCACCTCAGGAGCAGCTGCTCTCCTACTGCCTGCCAAAGGTATGACAGGGACGTGGCAACCACCTAATCTTGTTCTTGCCGCCAGACATATTTCTTTAAAAGGCTAGTAAGGCCCAGACTAGTTTGTCTCAGTTGACAGAACGTCAGCCCGTGGATTGCAGGGTCCTGGGTTTGATTCCGGCCAAGGGCATGTACCTTGGTTGCAGGCTCGATCCCCAGTAGGGGGCGTGCAGAATGCAGCTGATCAGTTTCTCATTGATGTTTCTAACTCTGGATTCCTCTCCTCCCTTCCTCTCTATAAAAATCAATACTATATTAAAAAAAGGCTAGTAAGTTTCCATGTCTTATTTTGCTGCCTACGAGTCCTCTGGAGTTATTTGTGTACAGTGTCCGTAGGATGTGGGGGGCAGAGTGGGCAGGGAGGACAGGCCGCACCTGGGTTTCTCTTTCGCTGTCCTCTGGTTTATCAGGCCATCATGCTTCCTCACACCTTCATGCGATGCCTCTAACTGTCCTGAACTCTGACCTCTCTGTTCTGACAGTCAGTCCCGTCAGGGTGAGAGGTAAGGGCAGACCCTCGCCCTCCTCCCACATCCGATTTCCTGGCCTGAGCGTCCACAGCCGCGCTCTCCGGGGTAGTGACGCCTGGCCTGAATCTCCAGGCCTGTTTGGGCCCGAAGTGGGGTTCCCTGATGAGCAGAAGCCACCAGGTTCCGCAGAGCCAGCTTTCGCCTCTGGTTCCCTGGACAGCCTAGGGTTTTTCTTTTGGGGTCTGAATTGACAAAAACCAATGCCACTAACCTTTTCTCTTTCAGTGTGAAAAAATGGGCCACTCTGCCATCAACTGCACAGACTGAACAGGTGAGAGCTCTCCGAACGCAGCCCCTGGGCTGTCTGGGGAGCGTGGGGCCTGCCAGCAAGGACCCCGTGCCCATTCTGTGGGCTTCTGTTCCCAGCGTTCCGAGAGCCCGCTGTGGCCTGAACAGGGTGCGGCGCCGAGGGGCCTGCTCAGGTCGGTTTACTTCCGCCCAGCCTGCCAGTGAATGGGCTACGGAAGGTGCCACAGGACCGGAGGCAGTGCCTGTGGCAGGAAACAGGTGTGCAAGAGCGGAAGCTCAAGTACTCGTAGCCGTCACTGCTGTTCTGGGCGCCTGCAGCAGTCGGGGCTGCGCGGGCAGTCCTGTGCATGGGCCTCCACTGCTGCTACCAACTGCAATTCACGCACGCGGGGCTCCTTAGCACGCAGCTGCATCCCTGCGTGGCTCACGTCTAAGGCTATCTTCATGCCTGCCTGCGTGGGGAAGTACCGAGAGGTAGATACATGAGCAAGGCTTACCCTTGTACAGGGAGGCAGGACGTGACATGGAACTAAAGTTTAAGGCTGTAGATGCCGACACCAAGGCACTGAATCTGCTGGGAGGAATGGGGGCGCTAAGCTGTGCCTTTTGGGGAAATGGAGGAAAGAGCTACTCCCTCTGTCCCATAATAATAGTAGCAGTTGATGAATGTAATTTGTCCCATAATAATAGTAGCAAAAGAAAATATAGAACGCAACACTTATTATCAAAAAACTAGATTAAATTAAAGAATAAATTAAAAATAGTACTCCTAATTTTTATTTGAGTGTTCAGATAGCTTCTGGATTTCTCAATAATTTCGTTCCTGCATTTTAAACTTGTAGGGAGGACCCCTTGGCTGTGAAGCTTGGCTTTTCCTATATGTGTGAGCTTAAAGTTATTGGAGCCATTGTTCTTCATTGCTTCCAGCATAAGTTGTTGAAGTGACAGAAACGTATTATCCAGTATTTCGGGAGAAGTATAATCAAAGGCTAATATGGTGCCTCTTCTGCTAAGAGGAATATGTCTAAGTTTTTCAAGTTTTTCTCTATAATCTTTGCATTTACATCCACAGTTTTGTTTTTTCAAAGAATCAACATTAGCATAAGATTCTCCTTGACAATTATTTTCGGAAGCACATTTCCAAATTCTTGATATGGTCATTGTGTTGCACTTAAATTGTTTTGCAGCTAATGTAATTGCACCTTTCTGCAACTTTTCCTTTTTCTTTTGATGCATCAAGAACTGGACAATCACAACTCGATCTTTGCTTGAAAACTCTTTTTTTCATCTAACTTTTATAATGGGTTGATATTCAACTGAAATAAAACAATTGATTTCGATCAGATGAAATTAGAAAGTTATAATTCGTAATAATCAGATTAACCTAAAAATGGAAAGATGTGTCCAAACAAATGACAGATGTCATGAAACACTAATTTTGGAGGCTTCGCAATTTTGCGCTACAACATAACTTACAGCTGCATTCGCCAGTAATTCCCGTTTAAATATTCACTTGCTACTATTATTGTGGGACAGAGGGAGTACAATGTAGGGCGTGTGGCAGAAGTAGGCCTGCCCTTGGCAGGTGGAGACAGCTCCCTACCTGCCAGAGCTGGAGCATGAGGCAGCCTGAGAGAATGCTGGCCCTGGGAGACGGGTCTGGGAGGTCCAATGGCCAGCTCCTCCGGGGCTGCTCTGTGACAAGTAGCACACAGTTATGTAGGCGCCTTACCCTCCCAAGTCTCATTCGGAAAATGAGCATAACAGCACCTGCCTCACGGGAGTGGAGAAAAGGAGAGCGTGCACTAAGGAGCCCGCACGGCACTTGGCTCTGACAGGGCGCACGTCCAATGGCAGCTGCACTTCTGTGTGGGTTATGGTGGGATCTCTCTTGCTTGGTTCAAGTTTAGAACCCGAACAGAATACACCAGCAGAGGCTTTAGAAGAGCTGTTGTTTTCACTCCTACTGTCCAACCTTGCTGGAATTAACAGGTGCCAGACTTCTAATCTCTGTAAAGTAGGACTTTTCAGTCTAGACCAGTGGTTCTCAACCTTCTGGCACTTTAAATACAGTTCCTCATGTTGTGACCCAACCATAAAATTATTCTCGTTGCTACTTCATAACTGTAATGTTGCTACTGTTATGAATCACAATGTAAATATCTGATATCTTAGGTGACCCCTATGAAAGGGTCATTCGACCGCCAAAGGGGTCGTGACCCACAGGTTGAGAACCGCTGGTTTAGACCAAGGAGGCTCCAAGAAGGAAGTAACTTGCCCAAGGACACAGGCGAGGGTCTGGAAGAGGCAAATAATCAGAAGAGGAGGAGCATAGAGTGGAAGCAGGAAAGGAGAATAAGTAGGAAAATCTGTAATTCAGGAAGAAATGACAGACCATAGGGTCCCTAGGCCTGGCCAGCGATCAGGTTCCCCGCTTCCTTCTTCCCTCGCTCCCTCAGCGCCCCGCCAATGCTGGTTGCCTGCCATGTTCTGTGCTGCCCCCTGGTGGTCAGCACACATCATAGCAAGCAATTGAACTCCCAGTCTCCCAGTGGAACTCCCAAGGGGACACTTTGCATATAAGCCTTTCATATATATATAGAAGAGATACATATACATACACACACACATACACACACACATATAAACATACTTTTTAGGTACAGGAATATCTATATGTGATATATAATCACCCCCTGTGCTAGAAAAGGGGCTGAAGAAAGTTATGTTTTGGATATTTATAGACACATTTTTCTATCTGTAAGTATCCAAGTTACTCTCTAGGGGCCAAAACAGAAGTCATAAAATTAGAAAACTGAATATTTTGATGGGGGAAGAGTCACGGAAAACCCATCAGCCCCAAACAACCCTAACAGAATGAAAGGAATGTTCTTGAACAGGGATAGGGCAGGATTCATGTTTCCAGGACGAGAGGATAAACTGAAACCATTTGCTCACTGCTGTAGTCACTTAAGATATGTAAGAGGTGAGTCAACATTCTTCTTAGTGCACTATTTGCAGCAGCTTTACAAATACGTTAAGAACCTTTCACAGGCTCACCAGCAACTCTGCACCCACCCTATCTGCTTTTGTTTCTCAAACCTGCCCAGATCTGAGGGCCAAACCATTCCCGAGGGGAAGGGCCAATGTATGCAGATTGTCTGCCAATGCAGCTATCTATACAGGCAGTCCTCGGGTTACCAAACTCGATGTACGTCGTTTCGTGGTTACATCGCCATTCCCCATTTATAAAAAAAAAAGTTCTGTCATTTCAACATATGTACATATGTGCTTTGCTTTTTATTATTTATGTACCACAAGTACAAGTCAGGAATCATTATCTGATTTCTTTTAAACTTTTTTTACTATTTCACTTCATTACTGCTGTGTATGTGCTCCATGTGAGTGATGTAGGTGCTTACGTAGGTGGGTTCCGACTTACCGAGAAAGTTGCGTGACATCGCGCCGTAGGAACGAATCTCCGACGTAGCCCGAGGTTCCTCATCTCATGTGATCCTCACAGAAGTCCTGGAGTAGGTAGATATCAGAAAGCAGGACTAATTAAGCAAGTTTATTTTATATACATAAAAGGCTAAGTTGACTCACACATGAGCAATACATATAAAGCTCTCGCTGGCACCAAATGCACGTGTGTTTCCATCTGTCATTGATCGTGAATTTGGTCAACACTTCTATTATAAAGAAAGGGTGAATAGCGATATTAAAATATTTCTTTCAATTAATTTCCTTTCAATGTGCACGAATTCGTGCATTGGGCCACTAGTTAGTCTATATCAGTATATATGTAGCTCAGTATCTAGTGTAGATGAATAGCAGTAATATGTCAAAGTGTAGAGAATTTTAGGCAGAGAGACTTAAAATGGAGATATTAGTCTTCACAGAAGATTGGGGAAGCACTAAAAATTTAACGATAAACTTTGTCATCATCATGTCTCCTTGAATAACATCAGTCTTTATGAACAAACATACTGATTTTTCCCGGTAACTTTCAGTGACTTTTGAGAGCAAGCCAAAGAAATATCCAGACAGAACCAGATCTGTCCACATTTAAAAAAACATACTCCTAAATGACTGCTTTCCATTCAATAATTTATTCTTTCCCTCCCTCTTATGCCCCGACACAACTTGAACTTGTGAACCATGCCTGCAGTCATCTCCAGAGTCCTCTCCAGTGCACTCTCCGTGGAGCTCGGGTCAACGTTGCTTCCGCCAGCCAAGCTCTTTGGATAAACAGATAAATGTAAGGATCTGGGAGGCCACTTGAATCGACTCTTTATCTCTCCTCTCTACAGATCATGCTGTTAAACTGAGATGTTTGGGAATTCTATCGGCTATTCATGTTAATGGTTACCTTGTACTTTTACACCAAAAGTTTTCATCTGAAAGTGTTGGGCCTCTTTTTTTTCTTTAATTGTGGGAAAAATACTGGGCTCTTTAAATATCTTTCCATGTTTTTTTAAAACTTTTAACTATAAACATGTTTTTATAAAATAATACATTAAAAAATGAGCAAAAGTCATCTTGAACTGAAAGAGAAATGAACCAAGCATTTGGCACAAGTGGAAGTGCCGACCCAGCGGGAAGTGCCTGTAACAGCTACAAGCTGGCGACTGACAGCTGTGTCCTGTTTCTCCTTTCTTTGGGGGCAGAAAGCTGGTTTCAATCCTTAAAAAAAGTTCTTAGGTAGGAAATAAAAAGGCACCCCTGAGAAGAACCCCATCTTCCAGGGGCAAACAGATCTCCATAACAACCTTAACCGAGCACAAAAGCAATTATGTAAATCTAGTCACAAAGGCCACTGTAACCCAAACCTTTTAATAGAAAGAACCCCAGCGCCTCAGGCACTAGCTCATCCACCAGGGCACGCAGACAGTGGCAAGCGGTAATGCTATAAAAAGCAGTCGGAGGATCCCTGGGAGGTCCCTGTAACGGATGTGACCTGTAATTGAGGCTAAAAATATAGAAAGGCTTACTCAGCTGCTTGAAACTCCAGCTACAACAAAGAATGAAGTATCCAGTGAAGAGCATCGTGACGCCACCAACTCCACTCTTCACGGTGGTGCTGCACTTGATCCAGCCTGTTGAGAAAGAAACAGGGATGCCGGGACCTGTGTCTGAGGCTCACCTGCGAGCTCTCCGTTAGCTGGGGCGATGGAACTGACTCAAAGAATTTACATAGCACTGGTTATGTATGTAAACGGATGAAAAGGCTAAAGTCTAGAAGACCTCAGTTTTAAAAAATGGTTACTCTTGCTTCTGGGATTTTGGTTAAAATCCTTACTGAGGAGGAGACTAATACCTCTGATTGGTTAACCTAGGTTTAGAGCCCTCCTGGTTTTGCAACAGTCAATGTGGGCAAGGGAGACATGGTGTAGGTGGCAGAGAGGTGGGGTAGGCATTAAAAACAAGCTGTTGAATAAATGGCAGCTACTACTTTATTAAGTTTGGTGCTTTTGAGGACGTCAGACTCCAGAATGAAAGCAAACAGAGGAGCAGGAAGACAGCACATTTCTCTTTTCTTTAGCCATGCGTTACGTAACAGTCATGGCTAAAGTAAAAAAATTCTCCCAAAGCCTGGAACCAGCAACAGAACCCAACGAGTGATGACTGCGCCTCACCTTTCTGTACAGCTCCCAAGAGCCGCATTAGAGAGACGTTGGAGGTGGTAAGCCTGGCCGGGGGTTCCCAACTCCACAGAGCAGTCGAACTTCTTTCCAACAAAGGAACTGCGGTCCCAAACAGAAGTCACAGTGATAGTTCATCTGAATTCACCCTCTTCCCCAACACTCAGTACCCAAGGATCCAGGGCTAGGCCTCTGGAAAAGCATGTCCTAAAGAGGTGCAGGGGGCTGCAGCCACGCTAAGTGCTCCAAGTCAAAGCAGCCCCTCGCAGGTCAGAAAAAGGCTCCCTTCGATCCGATGCATCTTCTGCCCAGATGACCTATGTGGATGTGCTGAATGAAACAAACTGCTCTTATTTTCTATCTTCTGCCAAAACATCTGAGCAAAAAGCATGACTGTCTACACTCCAATTAACTACAGCTACTTGTCACTGTATCTGCAGTCAACAGTTCTGTTCCAGCAGCCCATCACTACTGCTGACAGCAAACGTTTCTTATTTATGTTCAAAACACGGCTAACTAAAGGAGAACCTGCAAGGAGGGTTTATGCTATGCATTTACATTTTTCCTGTTCCTGTTTTTCTGTTTAATGACAGACAGGAAATCTCTTCTATCGTTGGTTCTCTGGTCTTGGTTTGGTTCATCAGGATAAAGGACAATTTAAGCAAATATCTATGACCAATTTAGCAGGTGTGGTAAAAGTTGATGTGGATGTAAAACTACCTAAATGGTCATCCATATATGTAAAAGGCTAATAAGCTAAGTGTCCAACCATCCAGGTAAGGACATCACATAGTAACGCCCAGCTTCCTCTCCCTAGCAACTAGCCTCCTTGCAGTTTCTTCAGCCCAGGAACAGGACTTGCTTTATAGGTAGGTGGAAACACTCTACACTGTAACCAAATGTCTGTGAAGCATTTTCCCATGTCTCATCTCATTTGATCCTCACGGAAGTCCTGGCGTAGGTAGATAGGCGACTCAGTGGAATCCTATTTACTTTTCATTAGGAAAATGGAGATTTAGAAAGTTTAGAAACTTGACCTGAATGAAAACAAGAATTTGCTGTGTTTCTGACAATTACCTGAAAGAGAAGTTGGGGTGCTTTACTGGGCTGGGAAAGTTTAGCTACATCAGAAAGCAGGTCTAATGAAGCAAGTTTATTCTATGTCCATAAAAGGCTAAGTTGACTTGTGCATGCTCAGTACATACAAAGTTCTCACTGGCACCAATCACATACATGTTTCTATCTGTCATTGTTGATCGTGAATTTGGTTGATACTTCTATTATAGAGAAAGGGTGAATAGTGATATTAAAATATTTCTTCCAATTAATTTCCTTTCAATGTGCACAAATTCGTGCACGGGCCACTAATCAATTTATATTAAGTAACAATGAAAAGAACAGTGCTATAGCGTCCAAGAAATGACACAGAAGATAACTCTCTTGTAAGGTGAAGAATAGGGTCTTTAAAAAAACAAACAAACAAAAAAAAACAAAGCAGGGCATAACCCATTCATCTTGGAAAAAATTTGAAAAGGTGAGGTGAAGCAACTTCATGAAATTGCAATTGTACAACTTCCTGAGTAGGTAAGGGTGGCTCCTCTCCTCTGTTCTTTCTCCATTCAGCTGAGCCTACTGACTTCCTCGCAGGCTGCCAGACTTACGTGCAGGACATCAGCTCAGGCCCTGAGCTGGGATACCAAGCCCAGGAGAGGTCAGTTCAGAACCCACAGTCCTCTGACAGTTTTCGTCTATGTCTTCTTGCTGCCCAGCTACTCTGGGTCTGATTCCCATCCCTTTGGGCCTGGGGCTGCGAAGATCCACTGCCTTGCCTTGGCCATCTCCTCTCCTAGACACTCACCTGCTAGTGTCCATGTCCTTACACTTAAACCCAATGACTATGGTTAACCTCTTAGTGACACTGGCCCCACTCTCTAATACACCCACGGAAAACCCTCACCCACCCTCTGGACCTCTAACATTTCCCATCATCCCTCTGGAATCCCAGACCTAGGATTTGACTTGCCCTTTAAGTCTCTGGCTGTTGATTATTCACATGCTCCTTTACTAAAACACCCCTTTTCATGGACTCCTCTGGCTAACAGGGGACCTAATCCTGGCTGTAAACAGGTACAGGTAAAAAGCATCTTTTCATATTCCTGCTCAGGTTCTGAGTCCTTCCCCACATGTGCCCCATTTCAGACATCTCACACGGATACCCTATTGATGGAAATGCTGTTGGAAGATTAGAGAAGAGCCTCTCTTTAGCTGTTACTTGCCTTTAAAAACCCATGATCCTATCAGGTTTCCTCACTTTACCTCTGGTGCCCCCATCGGCCAAGTTTTGCTTTTGGTAGTTGTATGAACTATGTTTTTTTCAAACTACTCTCCCCTTCCCCTATCATCGGTTCGAGACTATTCCCCTGCTGGGCCGGAGGCACCTGTTCTCATGCCATCTCCTACGTCAGCAGTTCTCTAACTTGGCTGTTCTTCACCACTTAGGAAGTGTCTGGAAATATGATTTTTGACCTTGACTGCAGACCCAGTCTCTGGGGATGATGCATTGGGATCCTTAAGTACCTTGAATTCTGCAAAGGCTCGGCCAAGTGTACCCAAGGCCATGGGGACTCTGAAAGCTTTCCTTTGGACAATGGGAACCAGTTCCTTTTGCTGAGGACGCTCCGGCACTTACACTTGCTAAATCTCTTTGAGACTGAAATCCTGAACTTACAAATTCTATTCAAGGCCAGGAAAACCCTTCCTGAACCTCAAAAGATGGCTCCTGTTGAATTCATAAGCCAACTTCTTACTCCTGACTTACTAAAACTCTATGGCATCCTCAGAACTACCAGTCTGCATTGGGACCTCCTATCCTCGGCCACCAAAATACACCCATTTTCCATCAGGTCTGAGAGCTTTAGGTTCCACCTGTGCCATCAAAATGACAAAGTAGTCTTTTATGCCTCTCAAGGCCCTGGGTACCTTTTCCTCCGGTGGAATCATTTTATCTAGGTTCACTCAGGTATCCTGTGTGGAAGGACTAACTGCTGTACAGGTTTCCCTATGTAGGAAAGCGGATTCTGACACCATTTCAAAGCCCAGTGTCCAACAGAAGAAACACTGCCTGGAAAAGCTTGGCAAAGACCATCAACCGAAACTTGATGCTGGACAAGTTATTTCCTCTCTGGAACTCAGTTTCCTTGTCTATAAAAGGGGTTAAAACCACTCTCCCAGGACTGGTAGACATGCAGGCATTATAGCTGACATAGAGTAAACTCAGTAATTGTTAGCTCACTGGCCCCGCCTGTAGCAAAGAAATGAGTTGGCTTCCTGAGATCAAGGCCAAATGGTCTACCAAAGGTCTTGCCTGAGCAAGGGAATATAGTTCACACTGCTGCACAGATTCCATGAAAATTCAGTTTTAACTTGCAGTCCCTGGAGGTAGCCGGTGCCTGGTAAAATCACAAAGCTGAGGAGCCACACTGCCTTTTTACTTCTTGTAGACTTGGATGGCCTTGCTCAAGTCCTTGGCCAGCGGAGGAATCAGGTCCTGACCTGAGATCATAGGGTCTCTTCCATATTTAATCTCACAAGCCTAGTGATTGGATGACGTGTTACTGTATCTCTTACCGTATTACTACTGTATTCTTGGGACCCATTCAAGTGAGTGTGTCATCTCATAACTTATATCAGCCATGACATCAATCACTAAGTGCCCCAAAGAGCAGCCTGAGGCAGTTTAAAGACCATGGATGTACATGTGAGATGGACCTGGATTTGAACT